CCAATATTACATTCCACAGGGGGAGTGTTTCGTCATCAGCATTCCGTATTTTTATACTAAACTCGTCCTTTCCCAATTTTACATTCTACAGAGTGAGTGTTTCGTAGCCAGCATTCCGTAGTTTTGTAACTAAAGTCTTCCTTCCCAATATTACATTCCACATGGGAAAAGTTTCGTACCCAGAATTCCGTAGTTTTATAACTAAACTCTTCCTTTCCCAATATTACATTCTATAGGGGGGTGTTTGGTACCCAGCATTCCGTAGTTTTAGAACTAAACTCTTCCTTTCCCAATATTACATTCTATAGGGGTGATCTTGCAAGAAAAAATGAAAATATGGTTAAGTAGTAAGAAAGTACACATTCCAGTAGATACAGATGTTGATAAGTGTGAGGAGACTGTACATAAGCATGCATACATAATCCATAACGCTAGGTAGGCAGACTGTACATAAACATGCATACATAATCCATAACGCACGAGACTACGTCATCTTTACCGCTAATGGTTCTCTTGACATCAGAGAATTGAAATCAATATACAGCTATGACATTAGAAATAAATTAATTATGCGTAAGATTACATCGTTCATAAAACAAACGGTTAATACGCGCCCATTAAAATAAAATTATAAGTTTTAACCCTACGCAAGTGGGTGTTTTGAATATTCACAAAACTATGTGATTTTTACACATTACACACAGTCAAAAACTGGTAAGTAAAATATATCATTTCGTGATAAAGATGTTAAACCAAAAAAATAAATAAATTTAACAGTTTTCATGGTCTCATAACCACTGAATATAGAATTTCGTGCACTTCAAAACACTGGAAAGCGGAAGGGGTGAGAAACTATATTAATTAAACAGTAAACAAACTTGTGATGACGATGAAAAGTAAAAAAATATCAAATTCAAAAGTTTGGTAAAAACCAGTCAGTCACTGGAGTTGTTTATTTTAATCTTATTCTCCACGACGAGTACAGAACCAGGTATGTAACAGAGATAGATATTTGTCTATGTAAACATTAAGTAGCGTCTTGAACCTAGTTCTAAAAACCGTGTAAACACGCGCTGCACAAACAGAAATGATACGCACGCGCGCAAACACAAAGAATATGTTAGAGCAACCCCGGGTAGAGCTAAACGTAGCACCAACCAAAACACAAGTGCAAAGTACGTTAAAATAACACGAAAATCCCAAATGACTAGTAAACAGAGCCAGGAACTGTCAAAAAATCGTTTCATGATACTGTCACTGTTGTAAACATAAACATGTTAGTGAAGGTTTCTGGTATCCCTGAATTAATTACAAAATGAGTATCGAACTTTACACGTTTTAGTCAAAACTTACTTTAGTCAAATACTAAAATTTCGTAAAACTGATATAGAACGTTAAGGGTTAGCACCCTACTTCTTTACACAACGTGATTTTCTAATCTAATAATGTAACACAAATATGGAAACTGTAATTCAAAATAATACAAAACCAGAATTGCGGCAAATGAGAGAAAAAAAAAACTGATTCATTTTTCATCATTCACAAAATATTTGAGTTTACACAAGATACATTTCCATCCCTCTTATATTTCCTATACGATAATATATAAATACACATATATTATTATACGACAAATATAAAGTTTTGAACCAATTCAGAAAAACTTAATTATAAAAAACTAAGTTATTACAAATTTAGTCGTGCCATCTGGTGAGACAAATATAGATTATAAAAAAAAACATTCTTGAACATAATTTTAATTAAGTAATCAACAGAGAGAGAGAGAGGAATACCACTGTACTATTGTTATTTTGACATAGTTTCTATAACAATGTCACATTAAATATTTATGCTTAGCAGGTCAACCTAATCCTGTAAATTAAATAAGTTATTATTTTAAGTAAGCTATTATTGATCATATTATCACATTTATTTATTTGCTGATTTATAATTAAACATAGTGGGTCATAATTTTTGATAAGTACAAATAATTATTATCAACATGTCTAAATAAGTTGATTGCCACGTGAAATACAACTCTTCCAGCAACTCCAGTCATGGGGAAGTCTATGACTGCCTTGGGATATTGCTTTCTCTAAAAACGTTTGTGTGTGTTTAAAATGCATTTGCTAATAGATTTTTGTAATATATATATTTTACTATTACATTCCTTAAACTTTAAAAACCTATCTTCTTATTAAAAAATCAGAATTGGTATGAAACAACTCTCCAAATGACTCAACTTTGTAGAAGGAATCTGTCACTGCCAATTTGTCAACATCCTCAAACATTCTGATGCACCCAAACTTTTTTTAACATGTACTTGGGTAATTTCAAAGGTAAACAACAAACAGTTCACAGCAGATACCACACTGCCAAATTATTCTGTCACAAATCTCACCAAACTTTACCTTATAATGGCAGATTTTCAAAATGTAGCATTTTCTGTAAATAGTAAAAAAAAAGTTTGCCCACAAATCTCCCTCACCTGATGCCTTTTTTTAGAACCAACACTACAAACAAACAAGTAAAAAATATTATGTCAATGAAACATTTATCACTTGGCAACAAGGCACAGAAATAGTTCTACTATCACTGACTCTCTTACATTTAAACAATCGTTCATGAAGGAGTGTTTGGTAGGCAGCTACTTAATGTTCTAGCCCAATGCAACTAAGCTACCAAATTATCCAGAATCAAACTCCTAAGAAAGTTTAGAAGAATCACCAGAGTCACCAATCTCAAGAAACATTTTTGAACACTAAAGGCTATCCTGTTTGATTGACCAACGAAAATGTACACCAGCAAAGGTCCCGGTTCCACATACACAATTTCCGTATCTCCCTACTTCTCATCTACCATAAAAAAATAATCTATAAAATATTTCAGATTCTGAATAATGTCAGACATTATAGAACAAAATTCTAATCTTTAAGCTTGAGCTTTCCGTGAACAAGTACTATCATATACTGTTCTGAAGATTGACTTGTCCTGACAAAAAGTAAGGCATTAAAAATTTAACATAGAAATTAATAATAAAGACAATTGCATTTATTTCAACCTTAAGTTAAAATGCGACCAAACCAACATTACAGTGAATAGATGTAAAAATAATAATAATGACATATTACAAAACACGAGAGTTAATTGTAAACAATAATAATGACATATTACAAAACACGAGAGTTAATTGTAAACAATAATAATGACATATTACAAAACACGAGAGTTAATTGTAAACAATAATAATGACATGTTACAAAGCACGAGAGTTAATTGTAAACAATAATAAAGCCATGTTACAAAACACGAGAGTTAATTGTAAACAATAATAATGACATATTACAAAACACGAGAGTTAATTGTAAACAATAATAAAGCCATGTTACAAAACACGAGAGTTAATTGTAAACAATAATAATGACATATTACAAAACACGAGAGTTAATTGTAAACAATAATAAAGCCATGTTACAAAACATGAGAGTTAATTGTAAAAAATAATAATAATGCCATATTACAAAACACGAGTTAATTGTAAAAAATAATAATAATGCCATATTACAAAACACGAGT